CCCCCTTCGAGACCACCACCAAATGACCCCCCCAGCTGGGGATACGCCCCTCGAGGCCCGAAGGGAGCGGCCCATCCTACATCGGTCTCGTTTGACCCATCCCCATCCCCACCCCCTTCGAGACCACCACCAAAGGACCCCCCCCCCCAGCTGGGGATGCGCCCCTCGAAGGCCCGAAGGGAGCGGCCCATGTCCCCATCCGGGGGGGGGGGGGGCAAATCGGCCAGTGGGGCCCAGGCCCCGCCGCTGGGGCTGGGGATCGGTGAAGCTCCGGAGGGAAGAAAACACACAGACACAATGAATTGTCGATTCCCCAGAAGAGATGGGAAAATATGGGAAGTGGGGGGGAAGACAAAAACCCAGAACATATGGAGAAGTATGGGGAGTAGTTTTACTTGTGTGTGTTTATTTGTGTGTGTCCCAGGGCCCCTTCGTAGACGATACTCAATCGTGGAGACATCTTGAGAGCCTCTTGGGCTGTGTTGGGGCGGTCTTGGAAGCGTCTGAGGCCCGCCTGGAGCGTCGAAAGGCCGTAAAGGCGAAAAGGTGGAAAACATTCAGAAACCTGGGGAAAACCGATGACTTCTGCCTCTGGGGGCGCCTCTTGGAAGCCTCGAGGGGCGTGTTGGGGGCATCGCGGGCCATCGTGGGGCCATCGCTGGCCGCCTTGGGACGCTGTTGGCTTCTGGCGGCCTGCCACTGATCTGGCGGCTCATTGGGCCAGCCCGCGCCGAAGAGATCCCGCATCTCTGGGATGGAGCTGCCGGGGCTGGCCGGGGAGCTTGGCGCTCCGGGACCCCCAGGGGCTGCCACGCGCGCGCGAACTTGAATATTGTTAAATTGTTACCGGAGATCTGAACACGCCTCTGGCCCGTTGGGTCAGCGAATCTCAGCAGCCCAACTGTATCCGTCCTCTCGCCTTCCTTCCTTCCTTCCATTCAGGTCGGGCGAAAGGAATCAGGTAGGAAGAAAACAACATTAACATAAACTGTTGGCGCTCCGCGCGGATTTCTTGGATCCGCGCCTGGGCCCCCCGGCGTCGCCTCTGTCGCCGCCCCTGGCGCGCTACGCGCGCCAGGGAGGGGGGTCCAGCGCAATTCCAAGAAATCCGCGCGGAGCGCCAGAAGTTTGTGTTTTTTTTTTTTTTTTTTTTTTTTTTTTTTTTTTTCTAAATTAGGGAAAGAGGTGGGGTGGGGGGGCGAGATCTGCTGCATGCAGCTGGCTTCGGCCTCGCGCCCCTGGGCACTTTCCTCGCCACACTGGCGCTTCTGGCGCCGGGAGGCGCCGGAAAAACCAGGCACGTGTGGATTCTCCTTTCTAAAGAGAGAATAGACTCACCCCCCTCCCTGGAGTTATAGCCCCCCTTTCGGGTATGTAAATCACATATGATTATGACCACATGTCCATCCTAAACATGGAATCGCAATGTCCCAGGCCAACCGGGTTCCCCCCCTCTGAGGTTCCTGTCTTAAAAAATACGCGGTGCCCCTTTATGTTCTAACATACACTTTTTCGCGAATCTTTGCAACACATGGGACGAAGAGCGCACGCGCGCGTCTCGTCGCGCGCGCATGCCGAAATCCTTCAAAAACCTTCGGTGCCAGAAGGATTTCGCAATCGAGTTTCCAAAACACATACAAAAACACACGGTTTCGTAACACTGATTTGCTAAAGAAAGTTTACGCGCGAGCTCTTGCGAAATCTTAAGAAAACCATTGGTTTTTCAAGATTTTCGCAACATGCTACCAGACGGGCGTCGCGCGCGCATGTCGAAGTCTGTCGAACGCCCTTGCGCGTGTGCCGTCGCGAGACTCCCCTGCAAAAAATGGGACGAAGTGCAGACGCGCGCGTCGTCGCGCGCGTACGCCGAAATCTTTCAAAACCCATAGGTTTCGGAAGGATTTCAAAATCGCGCGTCAAAAAAAACCTACAAACACAACAGGTTTCGCAACACGGATGTTCAACAAAAGCGTGCGCGCGCGCTCTTGCGACGTCGTCGTCGTCGTCGTCGTCGCCGTCCTCCCTCCTCCCGCGTCGTCGTCGTCGTCGTCGTCGTCGCTTACGTCGTCCTGTGTCTTTCCTCGTGTTCCTCGTCGTCGTCCTCTTTGGCGTCGTGGTCGTTTCTGCCGTCGTTGTCGCCGTGGTCGTCCTTCCTCCTCCTCCCTCGTCGTCGTCGTCGTCGTCGTCCGTCGTCGGCGTCTCGTCGTCGTCCCTCTTATTTCGTCGCCGTCGTCGTTGTCGTCGTCGTCTCGTCGTCGTCTTCCCTCCTCCCTCGTCGTTGTCGTCGTCGGCGTCGCCGTCCTTCCTTCTTCGTCGTTCGCGTCGTCGCCGTCCTCCCTCCTCCCTCGTTGTCGTCGTTGTCGTTGTCGCCGTCGTCGTCCTCCCTCCTCTCTCGTCGTCGTCTTCGTTGGCGACGTCGTCGTCGTCGGCGTCGGCGTCGGCGTCGTCGTCGTCGACGTCGGCATCGTCGTCGTCGCCGCCGTCATCGCCGTCGTCGTCGTCAGCCGTCTTGCTTCTCCGGCCTTCTTGGGGCGCTCTTGAGACGCCCCCGCGGGCTCCAAGACGACCCCGGAGAGATATCTGTGCTCGGTCCCGCATGGGTTTTGCAAACCAAGTTGCGGGTGGGTGGGTGGGATGATTGCGCGAGCAGTGGAGTTGACAACTTCAAGTTCGGCAAGTGATTAATTCGCTAATCTTAAGTCGGGCCTGTCCCTCTACATGGGGAATATTCAAAACTAGCCAAAAAATAGTCAGGGGATGATTTCGTAACCAGTGATGGTGTTTTGTTTGTGTATTTTTCTGACTAATTTGAATTTTTCGTCCAACGCTTGTAGGAGGACAGGCCCGACCTAACGCTAACCCGCCCCTCCGTCCGACCCGGATCGTGGGCTGGAGGGAGGAGCAGCTGTAGCAGCAGGAGGCCGAGACGGGGGAGCGTTGATGACGAGGAAAATGAGGCGGGGCCGGTCGGTCGGTCGCAAGCGGTCTTAGCGCAAACGTTGTGCTTGTGTAGTGCAGTAGCTCTCTCCCCGAGCGCCCAGGGATAGCAACACTATTCCGCCGCTGCTCTCAGTGCGAGGAGTGGCGCCCAGCCCTGAGCAGACGAGAACTGCCTGAGTACGAGGCGGTGGGGAGGAATAAAGTGACGGATGGTATGATGAGGACGAGGGAGAGGCATCCGATCAGGAAAACCAGGAACAGGGATCCAATCAGTCGGCATACAGTCGGCGTAGCAAAGTGTCGCAGGTGCAGAGGGTCATTGACGAGATCAACCTCGACATCCAGCTTGCCCAGCAAGGCGGCCGCCGCCCCTGTGAGTGGACGGCCACTTGAGTGCCTCCGCCTCCTTCTCTTCCTCCCGCTGCTGTTCCTCCTCCTTCTGCTCCTCGTGCTGATGCACACCGCCTCGTGGGGGGCACGGCCAGGCGAGCCCTCCTTCTTGCAACTCTGGTGGTCGCGGGCATTTCGGCCACAGTGGTTGCGATGCTGGGTCCTGCAACGCGTGTCGCGCGCGCGACGCCTCGACTTCTGCCTAGCCAAACGCTAGTTGGGGCAGGGATTGGGATCGGTCAGAAGTGTTTACGGGTATGATGCCAGGGACGGGCATATTTTGATAACCAGGGCCTTCACACATGTGGTAGCCAACACGCATTCCAATACATGATGCCATGCGTTCCAACGTGCCGAAGCCATATATCTATATACGTATATATATATGTATATAGATATACGAAACGTCGTAGACAGCCTGCGTACATGAGCATTGCGTGGCATATCATGTGTACGAGCTACCCAGCTGCACACGACGTGTTATGTGTCCAACCTACCCTCATATCAGAAGAAGGCGCCACAACGCGCGGAACATTACTACACCAAGGCAGATGGACAGGCTCTGGGCTGTTCGGAAGATGATATTTGGCGGCGCAGTACACATGAGGCCTCAGAGAGAAGTGAAGTAAGACATGATCGCCGTTCCTTCTGTTCGATCTTCGCTATGAGGTCCATCTCCGCCACCTCCTCCTCCTCCTCCTTGCCTGTTTACCCCCCTCCCCCTGCCTTTGTGCCTTTCCCTGCCTCCTCCCTCGCTCTCTCCCTTTCCTGGTTCGTGTATCGTCTTGCCTCTTCCCGCCCCGTCTCTCTCCCTCTGCCGCAAGAGGAATGCAAGGTGACGACAATGCAACAATACTGTGGTATACGTTTCACCCCTGGACTCAGACACGCAGGCAAAAGGAACCAATACCTTGTTTTACCTGAGTAGGGAGAGGCACCGCAGTGGTGTTTCAGCGGCTGCCCAGGCCACCACCTGGCGTCCAGATAAGCATGGCGTGCCTGGACGTCTGGTCCCTGCGCTGTGCAGGCATGGGCGCTGCTGGTGCAAATCTGTGGGCCAACGGTTACGGAGGTGCTGACGCTGCCGTAAACCCTTCTCCTGTGCTACGCGAACGCGGCTGCTACTTGCTTCCCTTGCTCTTCCTTTTCCTCCTCTCCTTCCTCGTCTTCCTCATGTGACACCCTCCCCATTCCTCCTCCCGCTCCTCGTGCCGCTTTCTGCCTCCGCCCTGCTCCCTCCTGCCCTCCGCAGAAGACACCCATCCACCACCGCGGTGTCTTGCCACGGCCATGCTGCGCCCCAGCACACCCTCCGGGCCTCCTCGGCCAGGAGCGCGTGTCCACCGCGCTGGATCCAGGATTCGCCCCGCCAGGCACGGTGGTGGAAGTTGGGGGGTTGAGTGGCAAGGGGAGGCGAGGCCTGTTGCGCGATTGCTTTCCCCGTTGAGCGCCCGCTGCTCGAAAGCCAGCGCCAGCCGATTCGCGCCCCCAGAAGGCCTGACCCCCTCTCCAGGCCCAGTTCTTCGTCTCGAAGCCTTTCCTGGCGGTCCTGGGGCCCTGCGAGGGCACCTGGAGGCCGAAAACAGCGGCAACCGCCGTCGTGATGTTGTCAATCCAGTGGGGGCGCGCATCCAGAAACCATAGGCTTTTCGTCGAGGTGCCCTGGGTTTCTTCGCCCCGCGCGCTGCGCAGTGACTTCTCGCAACCGTTGAATGCGCTGCTGCGTGCTCAGGTCTTCACCTCGCGCGCGGGTTTCCAGGGTTGGGTGTCTGGCGGAGGTGTCTTGCGGCCGCGCCCGCACTGCACGTTGGATGCCCGTGTCTCTGCCGTGCCTCCCTCGCTCGGCCTCCCCCGTGCTCCTGTCCGGCGCCGCCAGCTGCTGCCCCGGCGACGGTGGCGGACCTCGTGCGCCCGTCGGCCAGCGCGGCGTCCACGGTGCTCGGGGCGGGAGGTCCCATCGCGCCAACATCGCAGAGCGGATTCCGGTCGGAAAACGATAGGATGGGCCCGGAGTGTCCTGGAGAATTTCCTTCAGGATTTCGCCGTGAATTTCGTGCGGATTTTTGTGGCCAGAAATTATAACTAGCAAAAAGTGCGCGCGAAATGCACTTCGTTTTTCACTCGCTGTTTCGGGCAAACATCCACACAGAAATTGACGCAGAAATCCGCTGCAGCACGTCTGCAAGGCCGGTGCAATGAGAGGTCGGGCAACGTCTGAAAGGCACCGATCCCGCTGCCCGTCCTGGGGAGCCCTCGTCACCACGGCCAGATTCGCCTCGAAACCGTGCTCGGAATGCGCCTTGGGAGAGGTGGAGCAGCGTTAAGTCCGGCGTGTCCCTCTGCAGGAGGAATATTCAAAAGTGCTGGAATAAATAATATGGGAACGACTGTGGTTTTATTTGTCGTCCAAAACTCGCCTGTAGGAGGACATGCCCGACCTAAGAGTAGCGGCATCGGTACCTGCGTGTCCCCATTACCGACTCACCGAGTCCTGGCCGGGGCGATCCCGGGCCCAGCATCGGCGCCCGCGTTTGCCCTGCCGAGCCCAGGTGTCACACGACGTGCTGTGTTCGATCCCTGCGATGTGCACGAGTCTAGGCCTCCAGGGCTCGTTGTTCGGGGGCGGCAAAGAGGGGCGTGACGACTAGGGGAGGGATATCATGGCGGGGGCCATTATATCTCCCCAGATTTCACGGCGCCTCTTCTTATTTCAACTCTTGAGTCCCTGGCCCGCGCCCCCCTGAGCCGCGCACATGCCGCCGGCCATGGTTTGTGCCCCCCCCCTCTTGGACGCCCCCCTCTTGGACGCCCCCGATGTCGGGCCCCAGGACCAGTCAAAAACGGGTCCGCTGGGATACAAGTGGGCCCCGTCGCGGAAAGTCGGCGGCGAGCCCGGCGGGAAAAGTGAGAAGGGGCGGGCCTTTTAGACGGTTCGGAAGTCCCCAAGCGTTCTGAGAAGTTCCCCAAGCCTGCCCCGAAGATACACACGTAACACCTTTCAGAAGGCGCGAGGGCTTCTGAGAAGTCTCACCGCCTTCTGAGAAGGCCGTCTCCTTCTCGCTTCCCCCCCTCGCTCGCCGCCGAGAAGGGCAGGAACCCGTGGGGCCGCGCACTGAAAACATCGAACATCGGCGTGCGTCATGGATCCAGGAGGGCGCCTGCGCCGACCCTGGGCCCATGGGCTTGGCCAGGGTCGGGTTTGCCCGCCAGTCCACGTTCCCTGGAGGCGACGACGACGACGACGACGACGAACGCCCCCTGGATTGGCCAGGCAGGCGTAGTCGGCACGTCGCCGGCGTCGCCTGGTTTGGGGGGGGGAGGGGGGGGGGCGAAGGCGACGCGGGCGACCTGCGGACTGCAGCCAAGACGCCGAAGTCAGGAGCGCCTTGGGCACGAAAGGGGCTCGCTGTTGCCTGGGTCCCTCCAATGCGGTTCGTCGAGCCCTCCTCGTGCACCCTGGCGCTCTTGGGGCCAAGACGGGGCCTCGTCTCTTATGCAGCGCTCCTTACCAGCATGGACCCTCCTCCTCCTCCTCCCCACTCCTCTTCCTCCTCTTCCTCTCCACTCCTTCTCCTCCTCCTCCTCCGCCTCCTCCTCCTCCTTCTCCTCCTCCTTCTCCTCCTCCTCCTCCTCCTCCTCCTCCCCACTCCTCTTCCTCCTCTTCCTCTCCACTCCTCCCTCCTCCTCCTCCTCCTCCTCCTCCTCCGCTTCCTCCTCCTTCTCATCTTCCTTCTCCTCCTCCTCCTCCTCCTCCTCCTCCTCCTCCTCCGTAGCCATTTTGGCTCAAGCCTGCTTGGGCGCCAGGCGGGCTGTTGCTGCCCCCTGCCGCGGCTCGGGCGATGGCGGCGGTCCTTCCCCTCGTCGGGGAGCAGGTGGCGTTGCTGGCGCCGCTGGTCAAGGCGGCAGCTGCAGGGGCTGCTGAAGGCGGCGGCGGGCGGCAGGTGGTGGCCGCCGCGGTCGCTTCGGCCCTTCGCGTGGGCGCTTCTCTCCTCGCCCCGCGCCTGGCCTCCGAGGTGGACGAGGAGGTGGCGGCAAGGGAGCAGCTTGGAAGGCCCCACCTGACCGAGATGGTGCGGGCGGGCCGCGAAGGCGTCGTGGCTCGGCCCTCTGGGGCCAGTCGCGCCTTCCGCGGCTGGGCCCAGCACGCCGATTTCGGCGCAGGGCCGCAGGCGGCGCCCACCACGGCGGCCGAGGCCCGGCGCCGGGCGCGTGGCCGCCGTCGTAGGGCTGGCGATGCAGCGTCGGCTCCCACCACGGACGGCCTGGAGGACGAGAAGGAGGAGCTGCAGGTGAAGGTATCAGTGCACCCTGGCGCTCAGCCGATGGGGGAGCTGATGAAGAAGGACTTCAAGTGGGCCCCTGGATGCCAGGCCACCCTGGAGGTCAAGGCGGTGGGGTCGGCCATTGACGAGCTGGTCCTGGAGAACACTCGGCTGCTCAAGGGGGAGACCAAGCGCGACTCCGACAAGCTCGGCGTGAAGGACTCCATGGAGAAGCGGCTGCCGCTGACCGTCAGCGCTGCCAAGCAGATGGTCCTGGACGCCGCGTGCGCCGTGAAGATGCTGGAGCACCAGCTGACGGAGGCCCGATCCGCGCACGAGGCCGCCTGCGTGGAGGTCCTCGGCGCGGGTTTCGCGCCGTCGCAGCTGTTCGACAACGGCGGGGCTGGCCCGTGAAGATGGCCAAGTTTTGATGCTCGGGGACCTGCCCGAGAAAACGGCCAAGTCATGAGGGCTGCGGAGGCTCGTGTTCCTCCTGCGGCTCGCTTGGCTTCGGGGCGCGGAGGCTCGTGTTCCTCCTGCGCCCCCCCGCTGCGGAGGCTCGTGTTCCTCCTGCAGCGGCTGTCTCGCGCCGCGGAGGCTCGTGTTCCTCCTGCGGCGCCGTCGGCCCTGGTTTCGGGGCGCGGAGGCTCGTGTTCCTCCTGCGCCCCCGCTGCGGAGGCTCGTGCTCCTCCTGCAGCGGCAGCGTCGCGCCGCGGAGGCTCGTGTTCCTCCTGCGGCGCCGTCGGCCCTGGGGTTGCGGAGGCTCGTGTTCCTCCTGCGGCCCCAGGGGCTCTCCTGCGCGACTCCCCTGTCGCTTTGCATTTAGTCCTCCTCCTCCTCCTTCTCCTCCCCCCCCTCCCCCTCCCCGTGCCCCTACCCTTACCACTACCCCTACCTTGTCGTCGACGATACGAAATGCGTGGCGGGAATGGGACGCAGCGCACATCCCGCGCGGACGTCAATGCGGTGTCCTGGGGTATCCTCCACTCGCACTTAAATGCCGGCGCAGCCCCCAGTTGTGCCATTTTGTTTCTTATGTTGTGGGAGGGCGGGTGGGAATGGGCATGCCATGCTTGACTCGCTCGAGCTGGCTAGCTTGACCCCTCCCCCTACCCCCTCCCTCCTCCTCCTCCTTCTCCTCCTCCTCATCCCTCCTCCCTCCTTTCCCCTTCTCCTTCTATTCCTCTCTTTCCTCCTCTTCCTCCTCTTCCTCCCCCTCCTCCTCCTCCTCCTCCTCCTCCTCCTCCTCCTCCTCCTCCTCCTCCTCCTCCCCTCGTCCCGGACTCTTTTTTTTATCGTCGTCGTCCCCCTGGTCCTGGCCGTGGACCCAGCCTCCCCCCTTCGTCCTTGCCCAGCCCCCCTCGCCCCGCTGGCCCTGGCCCTGGACCCAGCCTGCCCCCCTGTTCCTACTACATCCAGCCTCCCCCGCCCCGGACCTTCATTCTCGCTCGTGGTCGTGCCCGTGGTCCTGGCCCTGGACCCAGGCTTTCCCGGTGGTCCTAGCCCCAGCCCCACTCGCTTGCTCAGGCCCTGGTCCCAGCCTCAGTTGTTCACAAAACTCAGTCGAGCAGGTCCCAATCGATAACCACTAGGTCAGCACCGGGGCGCCCTGTCCCCTCCTCCTTTTCCTCCTTGTCTCCTCGATCCCCCACCTGCGCCTTCCCTCCTTGTCTCCTCAAGTGTGCAAGAGACAGGGCACGCGTGCAACTTGTTTGTGTGTCCCTGGGCCCCATTCTCAAACATCATGTCAAGTCCATGGTTACCAAACCCCCCACCCCTTCCGGTGAACCGTCGTTTCGTCCTTGATTGTTCTCTGCTGGCCCCAGGACCAGAACTTCACCCCGAGACCGAAACGCATGAAAACCGCATCGGCGTAATCAATCCGCTCATGATGTGTTTCCCATCCTTGGTCCCCCGTTCAGAGAAATGAGGCTCACCTTCTCACACTCATATTGTGGCCTACCGTAAGTTGGCTTGCAGAGGTGCTCACATATCTGCCAATCCATGTGCGAGGAGTCGTCGTTAAGCCGTTTCACTCCACTGCTCTTCCCCATCGTGTGCCTTTGTTATCCCCGTGGCGTTCGCTCTTGTAGTTCCACCCCACTCTGCCATTCCAGTCCCCTGTTTTTTCTTTGTTTTCTGTTTTCTGACTTGTTTTTCCTTAACTTGTTTTTCTTTGTTTTTCCTTAACTTGTTTTCCTTAACTTGTTCTGTTTTTCTTTGTTTTTTCTCTGTTTTTCCTTAACTTGTCTTCTGGAGAACAGGTGGGTGCTCGGCCTGGCCAGCCGACCTTGCTCGGGGTTTGCCGCCCCCCCCGCTCTCGGATGGGTGTGGCCCTCCTCGGGTTGCCCGGACTGCACGGCTCTCGGGTTGCCAAGCGACGACAAGCAACGCCACGCAGAGCTACGCCGAGCAGTGCCGAGCAACGCAACGCCATGCCATTCAATGCCGTGCGAAGAAATTCCGAGGAATGCCAAGTAGTGCCAAGCAGCGCCGAATGATGCCAGGCAAAGCCGAGCAATGCCAAGCACTGCCAAGCGAAGCCAGGCAATCAAAAGCAATGACAAGTATTGCCACACAGTACAACAGCAAGCAATGATAAAGCAATTGAAGCCAATGCAAGTCAATGCATAACGATGCACATCAACACAAGAACATGCCAACCAACGCCAAGCAATGCACACAAATGAAGCGCAATGCCCTACAAACCAATGCTAAGCAATGCAAAGCAATGCCTTCCTTGCTAGGTATAGAGGGCGTTTTCCCCTACTTGGAATCGCGCCGGGCTCATGTAGTTTCGGTGACCCCGCGCCGCATACGCTCCATCGCTATGAATTGGCATCGCGGCACCACGCCGCCGGCCCTGTATCATCATTATGGCCATCTTCATTGGCATCATCATCCTCGGGGGCGGCCAAGAAGGGGTGATGACTAGGGGGATGTATATCTTGGCGGGAGCCATGATATCTCTCCAGATTTCATGGAGCCTCTTCTTATTTCAGTACGTCCCATCCTCCTCATCGTATCATCACCGCCGCTGGTACCGATCACTTCTGTCATTGTCTCTGACCGTTCCTGCTCCAGCGGCGCCTCAATAGGCCGTGGCCCCACCGTCCAATCAGCAGCCGGGCGCTGCCCCGCCGGCCTCCGCTCAGGCCGTCATTTCCGCCGCCGCGATGGCTTCGCACTTCTACCGCCTGACCGGGCTGGGCAAAGACGACAAGCCCAAGGGGCAACACTAGGAGGGGACAGGCTCAAGACGGGCCTGTCCCTCTACAGGAGGAATATTCAAAAACAGTCAAAAAATAGTCTGGGGACTATGTTTCGATTAGTTTAAAACTACTCTGGGGTATTTTCTGGCTCTTTTTCTTTTTTCGTCCAGACTCCGCCTGTAGGAGGACATGCCCGACCTAAGGATAGGCTCAGGTGGAGCGCACCGGCCCCATTCATTGCCGATCGGCGGCCTCCAGCCCACCCCGCCCAGCAGCGGTCGGCTTCGCCATCGGGGGCCTCACGCCCATCGATCGGCGACGCATCGCCCCTTCCAAGTCGATGGATCCACCCTGGCAGGGCTGGACCTAAACGCTGTGTTGCTGGACTTCGGCTGTGTTATGTTTTTCGTTTTTGCATGGGGGCATACAGGGCACGAGGCAGAGCAAAAGGAAACACAAAACGAAAACAACACGGAAAACAACGGTTGGGTCCAGCCCTGCCCCCCGGAGCCGGTTCCCCTTAGCGTTGCCCCTCGCAAGATGGCGAGTGTCGAAGAGCGGCTGGCGCGCCTGGAGGCGTGGAGCAGCCACCAGGCCCAGCTCACCTGCCGCAAGGCGACCTCGCTGCTGTGGATGGGCAGCGTGTCCGGGTTCCTGGGCTTCGTCTTCGCCTTCTTCCTCGGCCTCGTCAAGTATCCAGCTGCCAGTGGCACGTCCCGCCGCCGTGCCAGCCCAGCCTTCCAGGTGACGGCTGCTGGAGGGGGCACGGGAGGCCGTCACGTGTCACCGAGCGCGATCCACGACTTGGAACGTGCCTACTCGCAAACGTCAGGAAAAACAGTGTTTGCCTCGATGTAATGCATCGTAGGTCCCCCGCCGCGGATCCAGGCCATTTGCGAGCAGTCACTGTGCAAGTCGTGGAACGTGCTTGTCATGTAACACCTCGTGCCCCCAGGCTTGGGACAGCCCTGACGAGCGGGGATCCATCGTTTTGTAGTACGAGGGATGGTGGCCTCGGGAGAGGGGGGGGGCGCGTGCCTGCGGCCGGCCATCTGGCCAGGATGGGGTCGGCGTCGACGGCAGCATCCCTCGTACGAAACGTGCGGTCAGGAAGACTCAGGATGCGGGGCGCACCTGGGACGAGGCCGCTGATGAAAGCTTGAGGCAGTCGATGACCGCAGGGAGGCATCCGCATCAATTAGGGGGCGAAGAGCGGGTCTGAGATTCAGTCGGGCCTGTCCCTCTACAGGAGGAATATTCCCAACTAGTCAAAAAATAGTCCGGGGACGGTTTTCAACATGTTTTTTTTGAATATCTTCAGGCTGCCGCCTCTGCCGCCGACCCCAAATGAGGCCTTGTGTTTTCCTTGTTTTCAGTTGTCGCTGCGAGCTTTTCCCGCAACATTGGTGGAGAGAGGGGGGTAGTGTTCATATGAAGTAATTCTAGACGAGGGCAGCGCTGCAGCTGGAACGCGATACGGAACGAGCGGGAGCCCGGGTCGAATGCGCACGTGTGTGTGGGCGTGTTTCTGTGTGTGCGTGTGTTTTTTCCTCTCTCTCTCTCTCTGTCTCTCTACCTCTCTCCTCTCCCGCGTCGTCCCGCCACCGTGCCTTGTTGAATCGTTTGTGGCTCTTGTAGGTTTGTAGGGGTCCCATTTTGGGGTGGCAGGGGAGGGCTCCCGGATCGTCTTGAACGCCGTGGAGGCCGACAAGTCGTATATGAAAAAAACATTGTTTTCGAGACGAATTAGATGATTTCGGCTTTTGGGCCCTTCCAGGGAGTCCTGTTCGAAGCCTCTGCGGTCGTCTTGGAGTCTTCTGTGGGCGTCTTGGGTCGATCTGGGGCGTCTTGACTCCATCTTTGCTCGTCTCGGGGCCGTTTTGGCCCGACGTGGGCGCTGTTTTGGGCCCGTCGTCGCGGCCCGTCTTTGGGCTTTCTTGGTTGACGCGGGAAGCCCCGAGAGATTGAAAATTCAGAGTCCAGGTCGCTTCAAGACTCCTCAGGATGAGGACTGAGGCAATCGGCCCGACGACACGCCCAGTCCGTGCCCGAGGCACGGTGGCGGATCTCGATCCACCCTGAGGTACCTTCATCGACCTTTGCCCTGGGCCCAGCGGAGAAGGAGGAGGAGGAGGAAAACGAGGAGGAGCTGTGGTGACGAGCAAGATGGAACCAGCGAGCGCACGGAGGACAGCGATTGCGAGTACGCGCGCACGCGGGCCCGAAAAGGAGCCCGACGTCCCACCGGCGAAAGAGAGGGAAGAGGTGAGATTGCTGACGGAGGCGCTGGAGATGAACGAACGAGTGGATCGTTTGCGGGTGTGTACGGGGAACACAATGATGGATCAATTCGAACCGTGGTATTTCGGCGTTGCGTTTGCGTTCATTTTCAAGTATTGTACAGGCGTGCCCGACATGCCGGCGTTCTTGAAACGCCCACGGCACCGGCGTTCTGAAGAGGCCCCGCGGGTGGAGATGCCGCTGTGGGTTCGCATCATGAGTCGTCGCGTAGAGAGCCAGTTGTCGCGCGATTGGCACTTCGGGCTCGTGTCGTGGAATTTGGTATTTCGTTTGGCGGTGAACCTGAGCAGGACGCGGTTTACGTACGTATCCG